ACCAACTTAGCCTGGAAAGGACAGACTTCTCTGGCAGTCTCGCTTCCGAAGTGTACTTTCAGCCCATACAGAAGGTAAATGCGAAGGGATTCCGGTCCCGGGTGGAAATCGATCCTATGGCTNAAAACAAATGGCATATGAATTAGATGGGTATTGATCGATAGAGGCAGGATTTCTATAAGACGATTGAACAATGAAACCTCTCAAAGGAAAGCACCTCACACGGAACCGCAATTAACCACGGAAAAACTCAGATACCTCAAAAAATCAATAAAATCATTGAGCGTAAAGAAGATCATTATGGCCCAGAGGGAGGGAGGAGTCAGGACAAGGTAAGAGGAACTGTAAATAAAAGGAATTACTATGAAATGGAAAGGAATGTTGCACAGTTAGCAGCTAGCCTATTGTGCTGGTATGGCCGGACCGATGACAACAGGAGCAGCCAGCGGCCGCTGCCCGACTACCGTAATCACTAATGAATTAATCAGCGATGGTGTGAATATTTATGAAAAACATTGGGACCTGATTGGATGGCGATAGAACGCTCACGAGTGCCTGCCAGTCCGTGCCCGAACGTTCACCAACACCCTGCATCAGCTTGTCATGAGATTCGTCTTTAACACTGAGTACATACCATAAAACAAAGAAGTAACTGTAATGGGACCAAGTAGAGGAGTGGGAGAGGCCTAATAGAGCGGCTTCAACCTAGCCAATACAGTAGACCGTAATGAATTAGTTGCGAAACACCGGCGCCGAAACGGACCGACCGCAACCGTCCGTCGTCGTCGCAGCGGCCGCCAACGTCGCACCGATTCCCAAGCATTATCTAATTGTTATGAGAATTGCCCAGCGCGCTGTCATTCAACAAACATGGAAATGAGCCCGCGACGTCGCGTGCGACGCACTGTGCTGCGCTACGGTATGCTGCTGCGACGGACGACGATGGGCTGCAGTACGGCCAAGGAGACGTCAGACGGTGAGACGGCAATGGCCAACGCTTAATCACTTCGTTTGCCTTGACGCCTCATACGTTGCCTGATCACACGTATCATCATCATCCATAGCGACGTCGTCGTCATCATCATTCATCAGTGCAATCAGAGCTATGGGTAAGAAGATTCGCTTGAATAGCCCCCACCCCAAATGATAGGTCCCTGGAGGAGTTATGCCAAGGACAAGTCGCAGACGATTCGAATGACGATCGAGCAGTCCTCAATGGTGATTCTACGTCCAGTGCCGCCTCAGTAATAACGGTTTGATGAAAATTTTCAGTGACATCGGTTAGAAATGCTCAATGAAAAGAATTCAGACCCATTACCCAGACAACTGGCAGCTATAAATTGAAATCCGTAGGCGCCGGACGCAGCCACCGAGTGTGCAGGAAACACGGGGGTGGCCGGAATGGAGATGAAAGTACAGCAAGGTGGTGTTCTCACTCAATGAGAATGGCTACGACCACGATGACGACGACGACGAGCACAGTTCGGTACCAGCAACAAGTGCAAGCAAATAGTCGATCGGCGTGCGAAGTCGAGCCCCAATGAAGCATCTATGGGTTTCGTGACCGAACACCGGCTGTTCACCAACTGCATACACGTGGCCTCTGGCCTGACTAGACGAAATCAGCCGGATGAGGTGTGGACGGCGGAAGTGTATCAGCGGCATCGCCAGCGGCAGCCCGACGATGTCCAAACAATCATTAGCATCTAACAGGCTCATCAGCTGCGCACAGTTATTGGCTTAGCCACGTCCGCACCACGCGGCAATTCACGAAAAACACCAGAAAGTGAAAGATTTTGGCAGGCAGCGGGGCTAATTGGGCGGCGCGAGAAGAACGATGGCAGCACGGCTGCCATCGTTTCCCTCAGGGGAATAGTGAAGGGGTAAAACGGGCCGGGCCATAGTGACGTCTGGGCACGGTTTGGACCTGATGATCAGCGGCGCAGGTTCCAGGTGTCCCTTCTATTCTTCGGCTCAGCAAGGTAAATTCAATGGTTACCGGGGATCATGCAGCATTGCCGGACCGGCTGGGGAACTGCGCAGCGCCTGTCGTGCTCAGCGCCGTCCTGTTGACTTACCTATTGTTCACGATCTTCGCATCCAGCTCTCATCTCTTATAAGAACAATGTGTTCCGCCGGCAACAACACCAACTCGCACCGATCGCGAGGCTTGAATGCAAAACGCGAAAAACAACTGCACAGGACGCAATTCTAGCTACAAACAGACGAAGGTACAGGTAAAATCGTAAAAACATCAGATTGCAGCTAATGAAGCCGCTAGGCGAAAGTAGGCGAGGCGATTCGGCCACAGATAACATCAGTAATGGAACGAAGAAGCTAATTGGCTATGTTTAGCAGATGAGCGAAGGCGATAGCCGCCGATGGAAAGGGCATAGGCGGGCGCCAGCTCACAAACTTCACGCCGAATCTGTTCATTTGGGGGAATCTGGCCAAGGAGAAGGTGATTTACGGTTGACCACAGATGATGAGTACCTTAGTGGAGTTTATGTTGCCATTCGTAGGTATCATTTACGTTGGGCGGAATGGGTCGTGATCGCAAATGTTGCGGCTACGTGCCGTAACGTCCTTCACCGGCAACAATGCATTGCTGGGAGTAAAATGAGGGCGACAGCGGAGACGATGAGGGCGATGAGGAGGAGACGATGACATTGGCAGCAGAGCAGTCAGTCAGACTGGTGAAACAGGCCGGTCGAGACCACCATATAGTGTAGAGCAGTCGGTTCGGCATGATTGCCTTGGCACCTCATTAGGCTCGAGATTCCCTAATTTCAGCAAATTTTCGCCTATTGACTCGATCTTCGGTTTGTCCAATGGAATGTTAGGCTACAAAGAATCCCTTGGCCAAATGCTTTGACTAGGCCAACTGAATGAGAGAAGTCTGTTTCCAAAACTAGGCATTTCTGTACCGTCCCACACTCTTGGCTTGCCCCCATAGACGTAGAGTTCCTACATATGAAAGAACTTTGAGGCTACTATTGGCCTGAGTCTGCTGAACGAGATGCCAGTGCTTTTTACTTCCAACTGTTTTCTAGGTAAATTATTGTCTTTGGTGATTCTTGGGTGAAAAAAATCCGTGCTTAGCCCAGGAAGCCACAGGACCAAATATCCAGGGGTTATGGTAATGTTCAAGGGGAATAGCCACTAGAGATGCTGATCAGTTCCAGGTTTGACTGTAACGGGTAACTATCAAACGGATCACCACAATCCGAGAGGATGTATAGAACATGGCGTACCCATGGATTTTGTGCCTTCAACTACCGTATCGAAGTTTGTGCTTTTTTTCAAATTCTATATGTCATTAAGCCTTTCTACCTAATCAATCATCACCCAATCGATTTCTCTTTGAGCCATCAATTTCACTTTGCGTTCGTCGTCACCCGCCTTCGCCATTGCCTTCTCTTCGACGTCGACTCCTTGAACAGTAATTACTCGTTTATTATCCGGTTCACTTCGGCAATTACAGTTGTTCTTGACGAAATCGAATCGATAGTAATTGTCCTCGATGAAAGAGTTCGATTCAAATCTTCCACCAATCCCGACCATCCAGTCTGCTCTTTCAGACCCTATTACAATTACTTCGACAGAATTCTTTTCGAACATCAAAACTGACGTCAATCCCTAGACGGACGAGACAAATTCAGGCTAATCTGATGATTTTGACGCGGCTCTCTATGTGTTGGTAGCAGTGATGGTGATGGTGGTGGTGTTGGTGTGGATGTATTTACAGCTTCGGCAATGAGGAGAGTTCGCTATGAGAGACGACGTTGTCGAGGAGGAGCAGGACGACGACGAACGACGAGGCCGGCGGGTCTTCGAAATTAGGCAATGACGCCGATTCATCATATGGGGCCTTTGAGACTTCAGGCCAAGCCTCGCCTAATTTTCCCGCATTTCGATTGTTAGTTAGAGCCAAGGCGTCTCTCCCCAAATGAACGCCATGAGTAAAAAGAAAAGCCGACAATGGGTATGTGAGCGCAAGCATGTGCGAGGGTGTCGATCCGAATGGGAGACATCCGTGGCCACTGGTGATAGGAACGGACTATCGAGTAGTCAGATGAACAGCTACTGATTTGATGAAGCCAAAAAGGACGAGGAAGAGAATGAGAAGCCAAAGACACGAGAAGAAAGATAAAGACGAACACCAAGAAGATGAAGCTCACCTATCGTGTTCCTTGGCCAGGTGCTCGCTTCGTGGCACGTCATGTGGCCTGAAATCAGGGAAAGTAAAATTACAGAAAGCTACTGTTGGGGAGTTATTCCAGTCGTATCCGGCCGGTAGCAACGAAAAGCAGAATTCAAAAGTATTTCTCCGTTTAACCCTGACTGCCCAGGCGCTCTCATGGCCCACAGGGTCTCAACTTCTATGAAGTCGCACTTTTAAAATATCAATTCGAGAAATTTTGAGCACTTCATGCCACCCATTAATCTGATCACTCATGGCTACTAGAAGGATCAGCTGGTGTTTCGACTCAGGGTCTATACAGGCCACAAGTGAAGTTTTCATGATAGGACTTATGAAAATAAGTTTAAAAAATAATAGAAAGTAGTGACTTTTGACAAAAATCAAATGGCTTGAATTGTTTCCTTTACAAAAACTCTTAAATATAACCTATACAGGTTTAATGAACTCAAGAAGAAACCCTCAATTTGTTCATTAACACTATTTCTTGATTTGGTCGGAGTGTTCCTGACAAGTAAAACCTCTTATGACCGAATAACCGCCAGCAGTCGAAAAACCCTTTCAGTCATCTGCCTGACTGGCGGTCGTTGGCGGCCACTTAGTCGTCAGCAAATGTCGGTTTTCTAAATGGTCTTATGAAATGATGAACATAAATCTCAAAAAGTAGTAACCCAATACATATGCAAAGCCTCCGAGTTCTGAAATCTTTCGAACAGCTGCAGCTTGCAACCCCTCCCCTCGAAGTGGAAGGGCGGGGGGCTACTAGGGATCATGCTTTAAGTTTTCATTTGAAGCTATTTTCAAAACTGCTCCCAATTCGAACTCCCCTCGTGGAACACCAACCTTATTGATATTAATAATTTATGGAAAAGCGACAACTCGGTTGCCGGTCAGCCAGCCAGCCCATCGCAAGCGAAGGTTTCCCGTGGGAAAGACCCTTCATGAATACGAACGAGTCTACTCGTCAGCTCGACACGCTGACCAAGATGATTAGTGACTCAATTCCGTGGAAGAACAATTCAGAGCCAACTCCAATACCTGATCAGCTATGAGCGATTAAAACTCTAGTAATGCTTAATGATATCTGATAATAATTTATAACAACAAAAGATCGAGTAATTTCGAAGCAACTTTTCTCTGAGCCCAACTCAAAAAAAAAACTGTATTTGGGGTCCTTTTAAAAGAATCTCAAGGATGACAAGAAAAGAAAAACCATAAAAAGAAGAAGTTAGAACTCGAAATCAAAAACAATGAATGACAAGGCCCATTTTTGAAAATATTCTAATACTTCTATACCAAAATCACATTCTGAGCTCAATCTAATGAATGCGGTCTAAATTCCCAGTTTTTCTTTGTGCTCAGTCCACAGCTTTTGAGAAATAGTGAAGAAGGTATGTAACTAATAATAAAGATAAGTAGTGAGATGAAGGATAAGGTGTGTTTTTTGGTTTCCAAGATCAATGACTTATCTACAGCGATACTATAAATTGTTCGGAATCTTGGCCAAAATCTTGAAAGTTTATAGAAGAGAAGAAAAGCAGGAGCGGTGTAGGACTGTACCCAAGTATTTTTTTGAATTAAATTAAATTCAAAAAGAATTAAATTAACTGAATGATTGATAAAATAATTTGAATCGATTTTGGTTTAAATTTTGTGAAAGTTTTACTAGCGTGTCAAAAGCTTGGATAAAGACCATCACGACAAGACGCCTTTCTGAGTTTTTTTCCTGCAGAACTTTGACTGACTAATTCTTTTTCTGGAATGGAAATTGAATCGAATTCAAAGTAAATCGCTTTTGCTTTTTTCTAATCGTTCCTACAACCAAGCTGACTAGAACCTACCAATTGCGTCTTGCTTATGCGGTGTGTCAAAGGAGCACAACCGACATTTGTAATGCGTAATCGCTTGTCGTAGATTTGTACGATGTGCAACACTTTCACAATGGTCCCGCAACGATGAGGCACTGTAATAAAGAAGCTTTGTGTGGGCTCTGCAGTGATTTCATAAAATTGTACTGTAGCAATGATGAATCGGTGTACACAAAGACAACGAGGAACCACCTCAACATTCTCGAAAACTCCTCGTTTGATAAGAAGAGGTACCCTAGTAAAACTTCTGGGGGTCCGGGAGCAATGTGGAGAGCGCCCAGACGCAAGAAATGAAGGTGGCAAGGTATACATACCGGTCGGTGGTCCCATGTTATGTGATCCCTACGTGGAAAGACACTAAAGGAGATAGAAAGCAGCGTAAGGTTGTTCTATGAGGATAATCTTAGAAACCTCGAATAACTTCAAGCCCGAAGGGATTTCAGCAATAGCCTGCAAACAGGTTGGTAATGACCAGTGAGAGGGATCCGATCCTGGGATAGAAGGGGTTTCGCCCTCTAACCTGGGCTCACACAACTTCACGACAAAAAGGCGTAATGGGGGAAAACGATGATTTGTTAACTCGTGAGTTGAAAGTATATTTTGGTCTCAAATATGGTCCCGAAACGAAAAGACAAATGGGCAAAAGGCAAGAGAACCAGACCATTTCTGCTCTGATGATTTCATGGCAAAACAACACTCCCTTCAACACATTCGTGTCAAAGAAAAATGAGTGGGTGATTGACTGTAAGTGACTGTACGATGATTATGAGGCAGGCGTCAACATTGCACAAATCATAAACACGTCCGTCGGTGACGCGATCACTGCCGCACGCGATCACCGCTACAGTATCCTGGCGATAGACAGAACGAAATCAGTTTGTCAATCTAGTCAGTAACAGTGTGCAACGCCAATATACATACAGATTAACTGACTGAATTGGATGTCTATAGATCATCCATAACTACTACTCGATTAATATCAATCAGTGGATCAAGTTCAATCCCGTCATGGGTGATATTTCACTCATAGTGATCGCAATCAACGCCACCCGAGCGTGTCAATTGCCCGCCCGCCTGTCCGCCGCCCGTGCCCATTCACGGAAAGTGACAAATTGGCGATCGCGACACCGATAGTCCCAAACCTACATGGGATCTCGCGCGAACATCGAATTTGGCAGATTATCACCTGCAATTCTTCCCCTGGGGTCTAAGAAAAGAGATGGTGGCCAACAGTTCCCTAAATCTGTTTGGATATTAGGAGCTGGGAGAGCAAGCGGAAAAGGAACTCAGGCCAAACCCAGAGTAAGGAGCAGAATTTCCGAAAATTAGGGCTTCGGACCTCATAAACCTTGAGGAATTAGAGAATTCCCGGACTAATTTTCCCTTCGCAATTAGGTCTCCCACTATTTGTATCGAATAACTTCAATGATGGTGGAGCCAACAGGCCATAGCGGTCGTCGCCCTCGATCACTCCCTTTGATATGCCCTGTTAGGCATTACTGTCCATGCTTCAACCGCCTTCGAAGAGCCCCCTGTCATTCTTTCTGGATCAATTAAGATGCACCGGAATAAGCAGGTTTACCAGAATCCACAAACCAAAGGCAGAGCGAATCTTGTGCATGCACCCAGTTGACTACCAGCAAATGGTCGTTTAAGAAATCACCTGGACACGAATCAAACTGGGAAAGGTGCCGAATTAAACAGAATTATTCTCACCTCGGTAATAGCTCTTGACACGGTCGACACAGCACTTGAAATATGGTTTTGGCGTTTCCGATCCGACACAGAGCCGATGATGCGGTGCTACCCTCGCGGATGTGATTAACCTAGAAACAAGACTTTCGACTCTCTACAAAAGGACACACACACAGGCACACATACGCCACAAAAATCTGCTGATCCGCATAATCACGTCGCAAACGATGGCGAGGGAGGGTGGTCATTTACGAAACAGATATTCACGAGAAATTGCGTACATACATTGGAAAGGTCCTACAGTTCAAGCAGAATGTATCTGCCCCAAAGCGTGCTACTCAAAAAGTCTACCTAAGCAGTAAAAACCTTTGGTTCCTGGATTTTCCATATAAATAGATTTAAGTTTCATCCGTTGTAATAAGATCTGAGTAGGCGGGATTATCCTTTCATTAGATCCCCGGAAGGCGGAGCTTCCCTAGAACAGGGTCACAGTAGTCGCCCAATGAATACCCGCGATTCTTTCAACGATAATATCTCCGTGCAAGATGCTAATGCGAATACCGTACCAAATTATAATAGACTATAATTATAATAATAAATTATTCAGGGAGAAATCAATGAGCGTAATTTGTCGGCATGGATGATGGCTCCCCAGTGTCGCCGAGGACGCTACGACGACGAAGCAGATGATATTCGACGAGTCGGCGAATAAATTTTCAATTCAGCGACCCATCTTGGCATGCTTGTATCTGTCATAGTTATGCACTAAATAATTCGGGGAATGCTCTGCTCCGGAGACCGTGGGGAGATCAGGGGATGGGAGTGTAAATGGTCATGGGACGACTGACAAATAGGTGGATCTATGCGCCTGGCGATGTCGGAATATGAACAAAACCCTTTTGACTTTTAAATGGAATACTCATTGAAGCACATAAGCCGATCCGATGAGGGAGAACAGTGCGGCGGGTTTGTGGTGTCTGTCTGTATGTGTATGATTGCCCGAATGAGTTACGCCTGAATGAGGTGCGTGATTGAGTCGCTCGCGGACCACCACGATAAAAGAATTGAAACCGGCGGTGGCTCAGCAATGTTGGGGAGTATGGTTGGCGTGTGAAACCCGTGATTACGTACCAAACAACAATCGAACGTATCGATGTGGTCGGAGCAGGTGCTTAGGCGAATTCGATAAGAGTATTACATTGACGATAACAAAGAAATGCAATCATGTTCTAGCGCAAATGAAAGCGGTACCCAACAAAATCGCTAGTGTCCGGCTCCTACATACCATGGCCAGCCAACCACCACCACCAATCGTCTGTTCGTCGTCTTCGACGGCTCATCATAAACACCACATCGATCGCATCGACTGTATAATCGCATTAGCATAAAGCGATAATACGACTAACTGGTCGCATCTCTGAGAGTCGAAACAGATGATGACACCTGGCGTCGGAGACGACGAGACGATGAACGAACGACAACAACCGGCACGACCTTCAGAAGGGATGGTGTCCATCCCAGCTGGGGAAGGAAGAAGGAGATTCAATTCCATGGGATCCATTCTGATTTACATTAGTCCGATAGACTTTAGAGCCCTCACGAAGAGGTGAGGGAAGGCATGTAAGGGGCCTTACAATTTGCAACTACTTTAACCAAGGGATCATGAACTGTTCTGGAACCTAATCGAGGATAAGCTTAAGCCCTATTCCTCCTCATCAGGCGATTCTCAGTACATCCATAACTTTCCAATAACTTTCCTAAACTTTCCCATGAGAATATGAAAGTCTGGAGGGCCACATAAACATAAATAACGACGAAAGTGCCATGCAGTGCTATTCAGAAATAGAGCTAATAAAAATAAATCAATGCGAACAAACGAAGAAATTTTTTCAACCCAGAAGTCCTCAGAGCATTGTTAAAGCTTTTCATGAAATTTCTAGCAGTTTTTGTTTTGCCCGAGCTTTTTAAAGGTCTTCGACATTGTAAGGTTCGCAAATTGGTCGTTTAGGAAAAGCAGCCAGGCCTCAATCGCAACAAAAGTCTTAGGCCCTCTTCTTGCAGTGTAAGATTGCTCAAAAGTGATTTAAATTATGTGATTCTCCGGTATGAAGCAGACCAGCAGCCTGTATAGAGAGGTCAGCGGAATTTTAGCAGAACAAACCAAGACCTAAGAAATTTGAAAGGCAATTCGCGTCTTGGGTAAATCTGTCCGACGCCTTAAAAAGAGCCCAGAACTCTCTGGTAAGGGTTCCAGAACCGATTCCCGAGAGCAGTTAGGGTATTAACATAAAAATCAATAAAATATCAAATACAACGAGAAAAGAGTAGCTGACGATTCCACGAAGAGGAGTGTTGGGAAGAAGATCTCTGAGCTTTCTAATGATCCCTAGACCACCATGGAGTCTTCTAGAAGTTTCTATACAAGTTCAACCATGCACGGAACACTGCAAACACCCGAACAAACTGAACTGGGCGCATGTCAACTGGGCAGCTTCGTTAAGACGACGGGAGGCTGTCGATACGCTCATTAGCTGATAGGCTGTCAATTAGTAGCCGACGACAGCATGGCCAATCACGCGGCTTGGCCCCGCCCCCGATTAACAGCTACCACCACCACCGCGACGAGGAACGTCGTCGGCGAAGAGGAAAGGAACACCCCGGACCGCATTCCCATATGACCTCAGCCCTTCGTTTGAGGTGAATTTTATTGGCATTAGGGACGGTTCTCAGGGATGGGTATTGTCTTCAAAGTGAGCGCGATTGACCTCGCTCCATGTGTGGAGAAGATGTGCACGCGATTAATCGTATAATGAGAGCCGCCGCCTTAGTTGGGCAGTGGGAGGAGAGCGAGTTTAGGAGTACACATCCGAGGAGACTATGGGCCCTTTGAATTCTCTCGGACCCTTGGACTAACGCTAGCAATGGTGACTTCTTTACGCTGTTGTTATTGAGCTGAACAGCTGCTGAACAGGTTTCCGAAGGCTCTCTTTGCGCAAATTATACGGTATCTATTGGGTTGGTCACGTCCTTAGGGACCATCACCTTTCTAATGGCCTGTAATTTTTGTTGGCAAGGAAGAAATAGTAAAATAGGCCTTGGAAGCCAGATAGACAGCAGAGGTAGTTCTTGGGAGGTGGTCAAGGGCCGAAGCACTGGCCTGTCCACGATTCAGACGCCGCCGTTAGTTCTCAGCTGAGCGCGCCAAAATTAGCTTAATAAACTATAACAAAGCTTAGTTTATTACGTAGTAACGATGGCTGTAACGAGAAATGTCCTCATTAGCAGTGGATAGCTCCATTAGTCCCAAAACTTCCTGTCCGCAGTAGGAACCCAGAAAAAAAAACCAAGGGATCAACAGATAGGTACGGATCAACAGAGGGTAGGAAGGTTCAATTAACCAATTTCAGCCATTTACCTTCTAAACTAAGTAGAAAGATGCCTAAATTATTATCTCAACGGTTAGAAGTAGCTGTAACTACTGTGTTCTTACTAATTACTTGGAGCTCCAAAAAGTTCGGAAATTCAGACTAGAAAACGATATTTCCTCCCATGGAGTAAGAACCAACGAGCAACATTCTGATCATCACTGCCGACTGCCTGTTGATCCCATCTGTTGATGATAATGTAATTTAATTAATTACTCATTACAACACTATCATTATCATCCAATTTTTCAACTACTAATTATCTAAATGTTAATAAAAAACAAGTCGTAGTTGGGTAATTACGCAAATTTTTTTTCTGAGTTAATGAGTAAAAGTTATGGAAGGACTTTTGCGACATCCAGAAAGGGAAAAAAATGAAAAATCAAATTCAGGTAAGCAAGTAGAAAAGGAGGAGTTCTCATGGGCCGTCACTCAAAAGTCTTTCAGAACTGCTCTTTCATAAACGATATAAAAATACAGAAATACAATTTAAAAAATTGCTATACGGTACAGTATTGTCGTGGTGACAAGGCCAAATGCCCTTTACCGGGTATAGGTAGGTTCTGCAGGTTCAAATCAAATTAAAGACTCGTAAAAATGATTAATTAAAGTCGACAGATCTAGAAAAACTTCATAGAATAGCAAGTGATAGAAAGTATCAGCCCCATGTTCCGCCCAGATTCGATCATCTCAAGGCCAGGGACGTGCTGAGGAAAAAGAGGGACTTTCTCGCCCCAAAGTGAGGACTAGGTTACGAATGATCAATCAATCGACAATCTTCAAATATAAGGAGGGTAGTGGATAGCTTTCCGCTGCTATTTCCGCATCTCTTCCCTTCTCCCCTCCCCCTTACTAACGGGCCCTAATCCTTTGTATTAGGAAGTGGTCAGTACCTATTAGGAAGTAAATGGCCGCTACGCCCAACATGACCATCGGTGCGCGACAATAGAAAGACCGACGGGGAGGTGAGAAACTCACAAAGGAGAAAGGTGGTGCGGCGAGGAGAGCCCGAACTGGGGGTGTCACCAACGCAGCGGCTCGCGATAAACCCTACTCGAGAGGTTGGGCAATGGTGTGAATGTCGTCGTCGATCGGACTAGAGGCATCCAGGGTTTGCCAAGCGCAAACACACCACTAATATGACCATAATGTACAGCCTAGGCGGTATGAGGATGGTGTGATCGCGTCGTCCATTGCATGCCGTGAAAATGAATGAATAGTACAGGCGTCGGAGAGCGTCAAGTATGCTCATGGACACATACGAATATACGCCAAAGCTCACGAGCGGCGATCGTCATTGCGCAGCAGGAAGTGCCGAAACTAATTGGACTATAGGGTTTTCAAAGCGTGGCGAAGGGGAAAATTCAAATGGAAGACCGAGCTGGCCATAAGAAGACCATTTACTCGCAGGTGGAACAAAATAGATCACGAAGTTGTGGGTTGAAGAGCCGGAGGTGATTCGGTGACAGAGAGCTTCTTTACTGCACAGTCCCTGAATCCAGTCCTACTTATCACCCAGACCGAAGAATCTCACACGTGAGACCTTATCGCAAGATTATCATAACGTCTGGCAGAAGTGGCTGTTCCTTAGTAGATAGCGTTGACCATCTAGAGGTTGGTACTCTCACATACCCTTCCTTAAGAGCTATTCTTCTTTGGCTGTAGGAGATATATTTTTCCTTACGGTATCTTGGAAGATGAAACATCACAAGCGCAAGGGGTAACCCACCGGTTTAGGCGGGGGATGGGTAGGGAGAGGTCGAAGGGGTAGGCACAATTGTTCGAGGCAGCGCTCATTATGGATAGCTACAAGTTAGGGTGAT